CACAATCTGGCGGCGGCCGTACTCCTTGGCGAGGGTCAGCTCCTGCATGAGGTTGGATAGCATGTAGGTGCCGCGGATGTCGAAGCGGTTGTAGCCGTTAGACGCGGCCGTACGCAGCGTAAAGACCTTGGGCCCGTTGTCCTCAATGGTGATCTGGAAGTTGCCGTCCGTATCCTCCTGGTTCCGTAGGTTCTCGAGCGTGCTGTCAACGTCAATCAGGAATCGCCGTGCGGGTGCCGCCTCGTCGTGGCTGCCGCGCCGGAACGGCTCCTTGACGCCCAGACGGGCAAACTGCTTCTGCAAGCTGTTCTGGGAGTATGTGCGTGTACGGGCACCAGCGCGTGGGTTCGCGTGGCGCTCCTCCGAAGTGTAGTAGGTTCGGGCATCGTCGAAGACGCTGAAGTCGTCCGAAGAGCCACGGCTCTTGGGAGGGTTGGAGGAGGGGGCTGCCATGGTCGATTGTGCGCTTTGGGGTGAGATGAATCCGAGGCCTAGGGATGTTCTGAACAGAAAAGGGTTAGAAACAGAAGACGAAAACGAAATTAGGAGCCGGTTCTAGGAGGGAGTGAGAATAATACTGTTGGGACAGGTCCAAATGATGCCGCCCCACGGGAGAAGCGTAACGTGCAGTCACTGGTTGGACCGTTGCTTGGTTTGCGCTTGCACCCACCCCCTGGTAATCCGTACCTGAAATGACGTTGCAAACGAAACAAAACACACCGACAGTGGGTTGCAGAGCGTGCGGGAAGCGGCAGCGGTCGATGCAGACGTCACACGACCTAAAAAAATTTCAACGACACAAAGGAGAAGAGCGAAAGCGGTAAGGGTCGCGAAAGGGAGACTCAGAGACGGTGGGTTTATCGCTATTCTGTCAAAGGAATCGTTGCCCGAGATACCGTCCGATAGCAGAGTCTTCGTATCTGAGAGAAGCTGGCTTTCGACGTGGGGTGGCAGGTTCTCGAGGAGGAAAGGAGAGGTGGGCGTCGCAGTCTGCAGATACGTGACCGGACGTATGATTAAAGCGGAATAGAAGAAGAAGAGAAACAAGAAAGGTTCGGGAGTGGAAGAGAACGAGCTCAAAAAGGTCAAACGAAAGTCAAGTCGATGTCCGTGGATATGAGGCAATAGGATTTGTGTTGCGTGTGACGAAGCGAACCCGGCCAAAGGTTGTCTAATGGCTGCTAGCCAGGCTGGAATGGCGCCGTCTCAGCTAAGGTCCTCGAATCGGGTGGGGTGGGGAGGTGGGAAGGAATAGACAGGAGTGTGGGATGTGCACGATGCTCGATGAAAAGGAACGGCAATCCTGACGAGGAAGAAAAGGAGAAGAAAGAAGACGATTGCCACAAGCTTGGTAGGATTGTTCTTATTAGCAGCTGACCGTAGCCTTCCCAATTGAATTCCATTTGCTCTCATTCGAGGAAGGAGGGGAGGGCATAATCAGGGAACAAGGTGGCAGCTACGGCCGTTCTCATTGGCGTGGGGAAGGTGCGGATGCGGTGGCAGGATGAAAGAGCGGCGTTATCGCATTAGTGGGATGGCCGATCTTACAGCATACATCGACACACAACAGCACAGCAAGCACAGCAGTACCTGTAAATAAGCGGCGGAATGTCGTCGGTGAAGCGTTTCGGTGGGTCATATGCAAGCTACAGCGAATGCAGCAATACGACGATGCCTGCAGGGTGCAAGGACGCTTGACAGAAGAGCGACGAACCTGGCAGGAGCTACAGTAGGTCGACTGTGGTACATGTCCTTTCAAAGGCAGGTGCTGTCCAAGGCAGGTGCTGTCCTCTGGAAGCGGGCCTGAATGCGGTGGAGGCAAAAACGTCTACCAAAAACGGTAACTTCCAGGGCAGGAATGTTCGCCTGCGACGAGTGCCCGGACAGTCGGGACTTGCGAGGAACTGAGACAAGCTTTAGTGCTCCGGGCACCTTGTTTTGTCGGCCGGCGCTCTGCATTCCAGGCAGTTACCAGACCCGCTAAGCCGGAAGCAGTTGGACACTGTTCAGGAACCCTCAGTCATCGAAGCCATGCCCCACGGCAGACCGTCAGAATTGCCAACATTCAACAACAACGTGGGCCTGGCATTGAGCTCTTGTTGACCGTACCCTCAGATCCCCTCGAAAAACTTCAGAATGAGATGAACACCCCCACGGAATGTTCAACAGGGGGAAGGTAACGCTAAACCAAAAACGACAAGCCGCACCCAAATCCGATCACGGGGCAGGCAGAGATTGAGAAAAATAGCAAAAGAAGGTGAGCAAAAAGGGAAGGAAGCACGGGACACCCAAGTTGACATGTATGTGAACGGGGACGGAGCTTTGAAGAGGGCGAAGCTCAACCTGGTTGGCGGACGGACCTCGGGAACGAGGAGGGCATGTTTGGACAGACAGGATCAACAGGGAACACGAAGTATTGCCGAATGGAGAAGCTGGGCTGCGGAAGGAGAAATGGGGAAATAGAGAAGGAGGAAAGACGGCTGCACGTAGTGCAAACTCTGCTCGACCACATGGTCAGCATTCTGTGGCGGCATTTTCGTGACTTCAATAGTCATACCCCGAGCCGAAGGCGAACTGACAAATATGAGACAGCCTTGTGTGTGTCCCTGGCGATTCTGGTTCGCCCCAAACTGGTGTAACATGCAGGACTGGATTTCGAGTACCGGGAAGTAATTGGGATTGGTGGGACTGGATAAACAAGGACTGGCAAGGAAAGGAAAGAGAGCAGAGATGTAAAAGAATCAAATACAACAGTGAACAAGAAAGCCATGACCGTTGTCATGTCTAATTGCATGTTGTAGTGTTGCAGTTTTGAACTCAGCCCTCCCTCCGTAGATCGGCCGCGGTTGAGCTCATTCCATACTGTTTCCGTCACGTAGGTACGAGGCCTCGCTCTTGAGGTCTTTGTGGTAGAGCTATAAACCGGGTTTGACAACATCGTCAACGAGCAGAGTATTCAGAGACAAGGATGAAATAAGGAGCACAACCATAGAACAAGCCCCCATTCCCCCCCAAAAAATACAGAAATCCCAGGCTCGACGAGAGAAGCGCCAGCACTAGCATGCGTACGATAATCTACCCGTCGGTTCAAAATGAGGACCGGAGACCAGAACCAATGTAACAAATTCTCATTTCAGTATTTGTGGAGGCTAAAGGATCTGATAAAAATAGTGGCGGAGAAAGAAAAAAGGTCATAAGGAGGAGAGTGAGGCTGTTGTGACGGCAAGGCGCCGAAGCCGGAAGGCGTCTTTGGGGAATGTCCGGTACTACACCAAGGAGTTTACGCTGGACCTTCAAAGACTCTAAACTAATGGCCCTGAGCATGGAAACTCCAATGGCAGGAAACTTGCAGGAAAGCTAAAGACTAGAGGTTTTGCAAGTTGAGAATACTTCCGGAAGCTACGATGTAAAAAGATTGACCGAAGATTGTTGAGGCGATTGGGTGGACGTCGACGCCCCGTTCCAGCTTTGCGCAAGTACAACTGGTGGTTCAACAGTGATGCTCCGCACTCCACAACAGAGTCGATATTTCAGTGACAGTCTATAGAGATGTATTCGATACTCTCCCTTCCCAACCTCCGATCGGAGAAGATGCACAATCTATGACACATTTTATCTCCCGAATTGACGTTCAAATTTGAACAGAAGTTCCCTTTCTCGATCCGAGTTGCGCCAAGCGGCTTGCGTGCTAGCTTTAAGCTACCCACCTGCTGACGAGCTTTTTTCCTGTCATTTCGTATCAACATATCTCTCTGCAACTTCATTTCTGTCAGCAGTCGAGGCAGAAGTCATCGACAGCTAGACAACGCCTACCCAGCACGAGTAAAGCAGACACTGTGCGTGGCCGTAACGTAAGGACCGCGGGTGAAGGCGTGGGTGGAAGAGGGGTATTATTTACAAAGCATGCCAATATCACATTTGCTTCTTGCTCTGTGTGGCGGTCTTCCGTGCACATGTTGAGCATCAACCGTAGCTCGGAGCGAGATAATTGGCCTATATAATTGTTAAGGTATCTCACGTGTGTGACTTCTGCTCCGTTATCACCGTACGATGTACATACCTCATAATACATAACCGCCGCCCGGACGTCACAAGACAAAGGCTCCATAGTATTTCCATTGCATTCCGCCCTAACATGATACAACCTAGCAAACCATTGCCCAACACTTGCGTTAGGATGTTGCTAAGACGGAACAGTTGGGGATGCACCGTACCGAGCGCTGTCAACGATTCAGAGCGTATAAGTTAGGTTGACATATGAGCAGAGATGACGAGATGGACTCAATCCTAAGAAGCCTAAGTTTGTGAAGATTGAGGAGGTCGATGTCGACGGAATTGCTGAATGTCATCTTTAGGACGGAGCAATGGCCGTGCCTGTGCCTGTTGTGGTTATTATTAGCCCACTGTGCCCGTCACATGGAGGGCCATAGCCCATTGAATGCGCGCCTAGCACCTCATGGTGGTGGGGCCAGTCCATCAGGGGAACGCCCAAGCGACGTCGACAGCTCCTTCCCCTCTCGACCCCACTTGTAGCGAGTGCCTCGATTTCCGTCGTAGACGCGACATGCAACCGCTTGTGTCATAGGTGTAAGGCGTTGCTCATTAGTTTCAACGAACAAAGTCACCGCCCATCCCTGCCTTTGCACCTCCCTTCGACGGCATTGTCTCTTTCCTCAAGCTCTCCGAAGAAGGAGCCATCTCTGTTTTGTCTTTCACCCTTGCAACGTCTTCATCTCCATTTGCATCTCTCTCCATCATACTGACAGCCTTCAATGCCCCCCTCTATATTGCTGTCCATTTTTCCCCATCCCATTCCATCGCTTCCTCCCGACTGATTGCTGTGATCGCCGTACCTTATCTATGCTCACGCTCAATACAGCAGATCCCTCAAGAGCCTGATACGATCCACCCGTATTTGTCTCTTTTCCTGTCTTGTTGTTTCTTCTCGTTTCTTTTACTGCGGATAACAGAACAGACGAATACCTGTCCCAACATCCACCATGGTTATTTTTGTCGACCTAGATGACGAAGATGTCGAGCCGCCGCATCACCTGCAGCACGGCAAGCTGCTCTGGAGCAGCACCGCCGCCGTTCTCGACCGTGCACACGGCCAACAAGTGCGGACGCCGCCTTCGTCTCCCCCCATCCGACCCCAGACACAGAACAAGACAAAGTCGGAAGGGCCGTCAATACAGGATGACGCCAATGCCCACGACAATGTCGAGGAGGCTCACAAGCCCGATGTTGCGGAGATTCCCAACTGGAATTCCATGACAGAGGCTTTGGGATGCTATCCGTAGGCAGATCCCCCTTTTGATTTCTTTGCGCGGCCTCTGCTGTTGCTTTACGTGACCTTTTTGCCTCTACGTGCTTGCGTTGCGTATTGTGATGTACTTGTCATCTGCCATATTTCCCCATGGGATCACTAACCTTATGTTCTTCTTCCGTCCCCTTCTTTTGTCGGCTACTTAGAATTTCTGCCACGATTGCCTCCTTCATTGATCAAAACACCCTGGACAGCCTGGCACGCACCTGTCGCCAGATCCGTGCCGGCCTTATTCAGTTCCGCAAGCCGCTGCTCGCGTCCACCCTCCGATGCCACAATGAAAATCTACCCGTCGACAGCGAAGAGACACTGCGGTACCGGGCACGCGCAGGCAACTGGTTCTACATGGAAGACCAGGCGCGCACATCGTATGATACTAAGGCGGGCGAGTGTGCACGCGACATGGTGGGCGGCTGCCGGCGCTGCGGCACTATAGTGTGTAGAGTAAGTTTCCGGCGTTTTGACCGGCCTCCGATGCTCCAACGCACTCGGCTAACTTGTTTTAGAACTGCGCGATCAAACCTCCTGCACCTATTGTCCTCCGTGACCGCCATCGCCGCCTCTGTGATGGTTGCGTCAAGGCACCTCTCACTACGCTCGCCAAGCCGCCCCTGCCTGCCTCTACACCTTTGGAATCCGATGCAATGCAACTGGCCATCTGCTGCTGTGCGTCTGAGGGGGTCTGGCTCTGTCAGCCGTGTGGTCGTAGTATCCGTGGTGCCGACTACGACTACAGAGCGTACGTGTCCCCTCGAGCCCTTGTCCTTGTGATTTTCTATTCCTTTCTTCGCCTAAGCACTAACGCAATGTCGCAGCATCTGGAAGTGGCGGACACAATACGGCGAGGTGCTTGGGGGTCTCGGAACGGGCATCGGTGAGGGTGATCGTGGCGTGATTTGCGGTCGCGACCAGGACTGTTGCTGTGCCAAAGAGCGCGAACAGGAAACTGACTGCGATGCTGAAGACGCACGCGAGGCCGAAGACTCGCCCAATGGCTCGTTGGCAGGCTCCGCAAGCCCCCTGGCATCGCCAGCCGTGTCACCCTCGGCTGTCATGAACGAGTCGCCCTGGGCAGTTCCTATCGCGCCAGCTACACAAGCTGCAGCCACAGTCGGGTCGCCGCTTTACTCACCCGAGGTTGCGGCCGCCGTGACCAACCGGCGTACCCCATCGCCCGCACTTGGCCCAGGATATGCTCGACACGAGATCGAGGGCATCGGTGGCGTTGTGAAGCGGAAGCGCGTCAAGATGGTGCGGGTGGGCGCCTGCGTCCACGACTGGGAGGATGAGCTGGCACGGGGCGCCATTCTCGAGCGTGAGATCACAGGCAGTGTACGGAGTTGGTGCGGCTGGTGCTGGCGGCCGATTCCTAGCCAGCGTGACGCAGACAACCATGGCTCGGACGACCATGTGGATTTGCAGGCGCACTATTAGGTAAGGCCCGATTTGGTCGCTTCGTCCAACTGTCTCTCTGTCTCTCTCTCTCTCTCTCGCTCTTCCTCTCTGTCGTTTCTGCGAAGGTCTCCATTTCTTATGGCATAATTTAGTTTGACAACCGCCGAGAAGAAAGTGACCCATACAAGATCAAACACGGCGTTTGGGTCGCCTTTGGTTGTTGTGTTTTTAATGTATCTCTGCCAAAAATGCGTTCCTTAGCTGCGAACATAAAACACCACGTACAGTTCTTGGGTATCGGGGTGCCAGCCTCGACCGTAAATGTTTCCACATAATAATATCACAGTACGTGGTGGACGTAGTGGCGCCTGAGCGCTTAATACGTTTGGATATTAAGTTTGGATAGGAAAGTACTCATAAAATTACGAATAATACTGCATTCACAAAATTAGAATCCATCTCATTTCGGTTTGTGACACGCCTAAAGCTACACTTCTCTTCAACCCTTACCCAAAACTGTCCACGACGAAGACGACGACAGCAAGCGGCCAATAGAGAACTACCACTGCCCTCGTCGAGCGCGACTTTGCTTTACAGCAGTACTCATCCACCAAGTGTCGCCCTGTTTGTTAGACACTCTATCGCGTCCCGACTCCACGGCGTAATTGGGATTGGATGTCGGGTAGTCATGGAAAGGAGTGGAGTTGACACAGAGCTGGGTGCTCCATAGCTTACTTTGTGCTTCATAGTTCACGATCTTGCAGCAACGGGAAACTCTCCTAGGACTCAATCGCTGTTTGTAAAATTTGATTGTTATATATTTGTACATGGTGTGCCTTTTCTGCAAATGATTTAATACAACAATGGAAAATAGTGGAATGGTGAATGCTGCACATGCTGTACAATGCTCGCCTTTCGTACACCGCCCCGGCCGTGTCTTTTGTCCTTCCCATGCTGCCTACAACTCCCCGTTGAACAGCATCTCCCGGCGCTTCACGCGCTCTGCCCGCGCCTTGGTCCGGATCGGGCCCCACCGCGCACGCGCCGCTGCCGCTTGCTGCTGCTTCGCCGCCCGGTGCTCTGCACTGCTGCGCACCACCATCATCACGAAAATCGGCGAGCATTGGAACTTGTGCGCCAGACGGTGCACGCTCCACTCAAGGGGGTCCTGGGCGCGGAGCCGGCGGATCTCGTCCACGTCCTCGGGCGTCAAGTGGTACTGCTGCGGGGCAGGCGCAAAGTTGCGGTGGGCCAACGCAGGTGCCCGTGGTGTCGGTGCTGACGAAGTCGAGGCTGTAGTCGAGGATGTTCTGGCAAATAGGTTCGTCAGGTTGGACCGGCGGCGCGGGTCGGACTTGGGCAGGAATTTAAAAGGCGTCTGGTAGACGGAGGGCGCGCTGGCAGGCGGGTTGTAGAGGAGCGTCGTCGTCGAACCAGCGGCCGACTTGGACTCGATTGTGCCCAAGGCCGTGGCCACCTCGGAGGCCGCGCCCGACGACGACCCCGCGCCCGCCTTGTCGCGGCCGCCGCCGCGCGTTAGAAACGACGCATGCGGTGCAATGTTGAGTGCGCGCTTCGTGCGGTTGGCCGTCGACTGGTGCCGGCGGTCGGCGAGGCGCTGGCTATGTGACGGTATTAATGGGGACGCGGAGGATGTGGAGGTGGTCGATTGGAGAAGGCTGCACGTCGTTGTTGCGCTGGCCCATAGCCGCCTTGCTGATGACGCGGCCGCGCCGGAAGAAGAAATGATTGGGGTCATTGATGCCATCGAGGTCGGTCGTCGCGAGACACGCGACCCTCGCCGGAGCAGTTGTGAGTCTGTTGTGGATGGCGATGTGAGGGTCAAAGGAGCGCCAGTATTGCCAATTCTAGGAGAGTATCTCGACAGGAGGCCTGGTCTTGCAATAGACTCGTGGGTGGAGTTGTCGTCGTCGTCGTCGTCGTCGTGTCGCCGTGAAACGATCGTATGTCGTCTGTTGTCGTCTGAGCACTACTGCAGAGCAACCGAAAAAAATTGCTTTGAAGCCAACAAGACCCACTCCAAAAAAATTTAGGGGCAAGAAGCTAAGTTGAAATTCGAGCTTAAAAAAAACGGATCACGTGTTTATATAGTACAGTCACGTGGATTTTCCTTGGAAGCACAATACCTGCGTTCGACCAAACGGGGCTGCGCCTCCCTGCCGACTAACACGTCTTCCCCTCCCTAATGCAGATCGGCACTGAGCAATCTGGGGAAAGAGCAAAACAGGGCAAGGCAGCCGTCATTCTCCTCCCTTTTTGGTTTCGCCGCGGGCGCCTTCCCCTCCTGCCCATTTCTCGACGTGGTCTTTTCTGGGCTCTTTTTTTCCTCACAATCCTCTTTCACTTCATCTCTTATCCATTGTGCACCCATATAATCATTCACCATCCATCGGAAATACCCATCTCGTCCCCTGCCGTCAGGCACCGACTTTTGCGGGAGACGACAGCCTCGGGCCACTCGCACATCTGACACTCACCAGATTTCTTTCACGTGCAAAACGCGAACTGAAGCACAAACATCACGCCGTATCTTCACACTTCATCAAACACATCGAATCGACGTCGAAGGTTCCTCTCTCACCGCCGTGATGACGCGGACGTCTGTCTACGGCGGCGCCATGCTGGCCTTTACCGCCTCCGCCGCCATGACCGTCGCCGCCACCCTCATCCCCAACTGGGTCTACTACGTCATGTATCCCACCGCCGACGGCAGCGACCCTTACTGGATGTCGCTTGGTCTGCACAAGTCGTGCACGTCTGAAAACACCGCACCGCCTCTCTTTCTAACCGACACCTCGCCCGCGTCGCCGCTCACCTCTGCCTACTCGTCTGCCGGAAGCGGCGCGACCTGCCGCTCCTTCCCCCACCGCTCTTGGGACTGCGGCGCCGAGCCCTCGCAGCAAGTCTTTTGCACCGTCTGGCGCACCATTGGCTTTTTGATGGCCGTCGCCCTTGTCGCCGAAGTTGTGGCCCTCATCGGCTTTCTCGTCGTCCTCTGCGGCGGCCGCATGCGCCGCGACTTTGGCTGGCGCGTCCTTGTGCCCCTCGTCGAGGCTGTCGCGCTCCTGCAGCTCGGGGCCATGGCCCTCGTGACGTACCTGCTCGACCACGATGATCGATTCTTGGTGCCCGGCTGGCACTTGGGCACGTCGTGGACGCTGTGCACCGTAAGCTGGAGTCTGGCGGCGCTGTGCGGGCTGGGCCTGGCACTGGCGGCGTATGTACTGCCGCCCGAGGACGGTTACGAATTGCTGCTTAACCCCGGCGAGTCACCTTAATCCGTCTTTGCTTGGTGTTCTCTTCATTTTGTTGTTTTACAATATGGATACCATAATTCGGCGTTGCATATAATCTGGGCTTGCGTTGTTTTCATAGGTTGCGACGCTTTTTTTTCTTTCTGATGCACACACATAACAAAACGTGCACGATAAATATTACGATGTGGCACGGCAGATTCGGGTGGAAAACCTATCTGTCGATGCCAATGCGATGGAGCCACCTGCCAAAAAGAACACAATCAAGTGCAGGTGTGTTGACGGCTTTTTTTTATTTTATTACGGCTCATGGTTTTCTTTTTTACGTATATACGAAGGTATTCCAATGCGGTTAGTTGTTTTTCCTCACAAATACAATATAAGCGTGGATTTATTACCATTTAATCATATCTATCCCTCTATTTCGTTGATATTCTCACAATCGCAAACATTTGACCACACTTATCGTCACATATGCAGCCCCAACCCGGCGGTTTCATTGTTGTGCCTTTCCATTTACTTAGCATTGTTCATTTGACAATAAAAGGGGACAGAAGCTATTTTTATGCAGGGTCAGAAACGCCCTTTGTCCAAGGAAGAAAGGAGAAATGAGACAGAGCCCTTCCCAAAGAGCACACATAGTAAACAGAACAAAAACAATTTTGGATGTACAAAAAAATGCGTGGAAAGAAAAATGGCGCGAATCGATGAGCAGAAGGAAAGTTAAATGGAATCGAAACCGTATATATATTTGTGAAAGATATCATCACCTGTCTTTTCCAACATCTTGTTCAGGTCATTGTCTTCCTCGGCAACTCTCCCGGTGCAAATTCTAACCTACTCATCTGTGAGTGCATTTACTTCACCAGTTTCGACTCACCCCATCTTGAAACAATACCATCGTCTACTTTTCTGTCCTTCCCTTCCCTTCTTACTCCCACTATCACAATGGCCGTGAAAATAGCCACAGCACACAATTCTCAAATGTGCCAGACATCCACGTGCAGGACCGTCACCATCAGCTTCCTTGTTGGCGCCGCGTTGCTGATTTGCGCGACAGGTCTCTTCGTTTACTGCTGCAAGCGAGGCCAACGCAAGGTCAAAAACAAGGTCAAGAGCGGCGTCATGGGTCTCTTGACGAGGTCAAACAAGCCAACGGTGGAGGCTGTCGAGAGCGACGAAGAGCAGCTTCAGCCACAGCCGTTCGTGCCGCCCCCGGGTCCTGTCGAGCAGCCACAGTGGCCCCCAAAAAAGAAGACTACACAATTACAGCCTCCGACCTACTACCAACAGCCGTACAGCCAGCCTTACGACGCCCCATACGAAATGCCGTACTATCCTGACTATCATCAGCAACAGCAGCGCCAGTGGCAGGTGCAGCAACACGAGCTGAAGTACCAACAGAAACGCGGCATCAAGCAGCACGGTCGCTTCGAGACGATCCCTGAAGGGCCGGCGGAGAGACATGCCCGTCTGACTCGCCTAGCTTCCACTGTTGTATCCTCCGTGTAGGTTTTTTTTATCGATTAATTTTTTTGGCGTGTTCTTCTCGTTGGCCCTACGGTTTCTTTATATTTATGTTTATCCGTTATTATTCACTGTCTTGTACTTTGGTGTGCCTGTATGTACTTTAATGGTTGTGGGAACATGTGACACTGGCTAGCCTCGCGACATTTATGTCAGCCCCTTTTATGTTGGCTCTTTTTTATTTACAGTATGCTGCATGGCAACCCTTACTAACGAAATACTTACAGCCGTGTCCGGAGCTTCTTCTACCTTTAATGCTACATTCCATCTGTTACTCTTTTGATCGTTTCTTGTTACGCTGAGAAAAACAAACTACAGTTGGGACACGTAAGACGACGCTTTGAATTTCAGGAGTAAGCATCATCAGAACTATCTATATTTGTACTGTGCACAATGAAGTATTTTTTGCTCCCCTTTCCATGGCGCGTGTCTACTCTTCACGTTGCAAGATTAGGGTTCGCATTCTGCAATTTTTGCTTCTTCTTCTTTTTTTTTTTTTGTTCTTTGGTTACTTACTTTGTGCTGACTTACTTTGTGCTGTGCCATCACCATCACCTCTGTTTAAACGCCATTCTTCGGGTCCATCAACGTCTCACGATTAAATTTCTATATCAATGATCAACACAAAAACTTATTGCGATCATGGATAGCGCCTACGTCTGCTTCATCACCTTCCTTGTCCCTGTCACATTATGCACGGTTATTTATGTCCGGTACTGGCTTCATAAACAACCACAATTGTCTGAGGAGGAACAACAGCAGGCCTTAGACGACCAGGCCGATTTCGATCGACGGCACATATATTATGGCAACACTCTGAGATCCCGGCCAGTCCAACTTTCACCACGAGTACCATCACAACCGGCCCAAGCGGCCCAAGCGGCCCAAGCGGCCCAAGCGGCCCAAGCGGCCCAAGCGGCCCAAGCTGCCCAACCAGCCCAGCCAGCCCAGCCGGCCGAAGCAGCTCCACGGCCCGCTCTCAGGAGCCTTTCTCCAGCTCACCTGGAGCCAGATCATTCCGCAGCATACGGCATGTCTCCCCAACAGCATTCGCGGCAGCCGGCGCCGCCATACAGCGGGTTTTCTCCCTCCGACATGCCGGTCTTGCCACCATACACGGCAAAGGGAGACCGATTGTCGGCAGAACCGATTGTTATGGGACAGGCGTCCAGTGCAAACTCTGCTGCCAGCCAGGCATCTGAACCTACGTCTGCGTCTCCGTCTCCACCTGCGGCTGGTGCTGCGGCTGCGGCTGCATCTGCATCTACGTCTGACGCCGAGGCTACGGGCAGCATGCCGCAGTTCTTGGCGCAACCGCAGCCGGCACGTATTAGCGGGAAACGGCCGTAACCCGCGATCAAAGGATACCGATTCGATGGAATAAATCCCTCTAAGACGACACTGGGGAGGTAGACGCGGTTTGTTATTTTTCAAAGAAAAATAAGATACGGAAAACCGCACAATGCAGCGTAATCTTAATTTCAAGCGTTACGTGTATTCATGATAGAATTTAGAATAGAGAAAACGAAAAGTGCTATCTACCGAATCGTGTTTGAATTTCCCATCGCCGGCTGTGAGAGAATGAACGAAATGTAAACGAAGAAGAAGGAAGGGGAGACAAGGAAACGAAAGGGGAAAAAATAAACACACGGAGAAACGCTGAGACCCGGATAAAGTTTGCTTTCACTCCCTTGCCCATACCACATGCCGGCCCTGCCTCCTTCCATGCATATGTCTTGCTTTGGACAAATCCAACAGTTGTACACATAACGCCTCAATTACATAGTCTAAGATGAAAGATAAAGGAAGAAAGAGAAGCGAAAATGATGGGGCGAGGAGACTGATAGAAATGGAAGGGGTAGAAATGAAGCTGGATGATCTGTAACGGAAACCAGGAAAACGACAGTGAGTTGTTCCCTACCGTGCAAATTTTCGTCGAATATCGCTGAGAGGAACAAAAACAGCCAATGCCAAAAGACGTAAGTACAGAAGAACAAGAAAAAGGTCCGTCGTGATCTGTGGCCGACACCGATGGGTGTGAGGTGGACATGTAAGAGGAGAGGATAATTGAACCGGGGAATCGAAAGCTTGATGCTATTGCACCGGTCGGGGCCAAAGATACCGTCTCCCCATGATAAATCAATGTGAATTTCGTTACCAGGCAGGTCGAACAGGAGTAGCAGAGTGAGACGGTCGAGAAATCGTGATAGAAAGCTGTGGTGCCGCCTCCGGTTGTCCTCATGAGTTGCGCTGTCCCCAAATTGGGGCACCCAGGGGCTTGCTGATACCCAAGCCGACGCCGATGGCAACACCCACAACAAGAACGACGATCAGCACCTTGACAACGAGCCGATTGCGCTTGCTAAGCCGCGACAGACAGGAACACGACCGCTTCATCTTTTGCTCCTTGGCCTTCTTCTTCCAGTGACTTTGGCCGGGCCAGACTTGCGAGTCGCCAAGGCCGCGGCAGGCAATGGATCGCCGGCCAGCGCCTTCGTTGCTGGTGCCCTCGCTAGTGGTATGTGTGATCATGGCCTCCACGTCTGTGTCGAAGGGGTTCTGGTGGACCGATGTGGGTGTCGGCAGGCCCGAGTATCCAGTCAGGCCTTCGGGCCTGCTTCCTGAGCTGAGCCGCCCGTTCTTTTCGTGCAGCTCCTGCGTCTGGTTTTCTGCCATCGTGCTGGTACTGGCGATGACTGCAGCCGAGGCCAGGGAGTTTTGGGAGGGTTTCTCCATGATGTATTGTGTCGTTTCTATTGTGTGAAGCCGCTTCTCGTTGGCCGATACCATCTCTTCTTCTGTCAGAAAGGGCGAGGCGTTGTTAGACGTGACCATTGTAATGTTGTTTCTTGTCGATTTGTCTGGTATTTTCTATGAAACTGTCTGTTCGTTTTCGTTGCTCGTCGTAGTCTCCAAATAGACGGACTCAGAGTGTAGGTCTACCTTGGTCTGGAGGCCTGCTCTTTCAGGAGACGCAAAACACAGGGCGTGTAAGGACAGGACGAGGGCGATTAGCGTGGAGACGAACTCGGGTTTGGCGATGAACGTGGACCGAGATAAGAGAGGCAAAAAGTATATCCCTTCAAATGAAAAAAAAAAGAGCTGGAGCAATCTCGTATGTTAGCATTTGTTTGTGCGTCTCCAAGACGTAAAATAAAAGATGGCAGCTGTGTACGTCGTAATGGGGGCCGATCGAGGCTAAGGCCCGAGGTCTAAATTGGCATATTGTAGATCTCTTCACTCTCCCAGCCCTCGCTCATCTACAATGCACTTTGCATCGCGACAACTGAGACACTTTTCGGAGCTTCGAGAACCCAAGACGGCCAAAGATAACCAAAGCCAGCCAACACGAGAGCTTATCGCAGGCCAAATGATTCGAAGAACAGAAAGGAAGAACAAATAAGATAAACCCAAGGCCAATGACAAGAGAATGACGAGCGTAGATGCAGCGTTGGAAGGTTGCATACCAATTGTTTTTTGACAGGTTCGCAACGATTCGCGTCATATGAGTGCTAGCGCGAGGTCAAGAAGGTCGGGAGAAGCAGAGGCATCCGATGTGTTGTTATTTCGCTAGAGATGTCTTACGAAGCTGGTATGAGCTTCTGAGGTAAGTCGCAATCGACAGGAGGATGAAAAAAGTAGAGAGTAGAATGGAAATGTAAAAAGAAGAGGCAGGAGAAAAGCAGCTCGGCAGGAAAACGAGAAATCTTGATTGTAGTTAATCTACTCCGTATTTTGTGTCAGTTGTCGTAGCTTCCGTGTGCAATTCTTGTCGCTCAGCGAGGGCCCTGGTCTTGGATTGTCCGGTTTAGGAAAACAGGGTCTCAGTCCTTGACGGTGCCTTGGGTGTTACGAGCAAGAAACCGAAGCCGACGAGAAGAAAGAAAATAAAACAAGAGGGTAGACGCGAAGAATCAGAAAGAGACGAAGAAGAAGAGATCAAAAGCAGAGATCGAAGAAACAGCCGACAACAAGGACGACGAGGGACGACAAGAAAAAGGACGAGAAAGAGCGACTATGCAATTACATCGTACAGAAAGAGGAAGGAGCGTAGAAAGAGGGGAAGGTACAAAGCTACTCTACGTCGTACGGACGAACTGAGGGCTGAGAGGAAGAAAAAGGAAAGAGCATGAACAAAGATAGGAGGACCGTCCATGCGTTGAGCCACACCCTCATCGAGACTTATGGAAAGATGCACTGCCGAAAAAGGAAACAACGACCTGCAAGGTTATCCAAAGAAACACGGCGGGCGGAGTACAAGAGCTTGCGTGTGCAAATTGCCCTAATCGGTACTTCCATATGACTGCAAAGGGCAGCGAAAGGGGGCGGGAAGGGGGGGGGACAAAACTCTCAATTCACTAAAGCAAAGGCATCAGTTACACGGATGCAAAGCACGCGAAATGCTGTGGAGCTACAACGTACGGCGACAAAGCACAAGCTCGCCACCAGATTCAACACTCTTGTAGGATACCGAAAGAAGCACGAGAGAGAGGCAAGCGTGTTGATTTCGGGAGAGATGCGAAGCTCAAGAGAGATGAAGGCGCAGAGAGGTGGAGAGAAAATAGCATACGAAAGTGTGGTATACCAGGAGGCAAAAGGGGAGACAAAATGAGCGAGGGTATCGAGATAAAACATTAAATGGCTGCGATATTGACTAGGCCGGCTAGTCTGCGGTTTGGGTACAAATGGGTGTACGAGTGCGATGTACCCGCTTCATTTAATTTGTGGCGGGAGGTACATCTGGGCGCAAAAATGAAATGTACCCAGCCATAACCGGCCAAAAACAGGTATTATCCGAATGGCCTCCATACCAGAACAACGTTCGCTCCGGTCAGTACGACAGGTGACGTCGACTGTTTTACGATGTACATAACGACCTGTATCGCACGCTTTTATCTTGTGCATCGCAGAGCATTACTTGCTTTTGCAGAATGCAGAGTCCATCATCACCACGGACTTTAGAGTCCGTGGTCCTACGCGCGGTCCTGAATTTTCCTGTAATTGGAGGGTGACGCGCCAGACAATGCGACGTGCGGGACAGGACAACAGGCTGGACAGACTGCGGCCCTTTTGTGGCCTGTGTCTAGAGCCTGCCTGCGGATTCTATTTGCACACTCAATGGTGTGGCCGTCCGAAACATTGGGGAGGGAAGAGAAAGACAAGGTCGAGAAAGTGAATGCGACACGAGACGAGATTTGAAGGACCGGACCAGACCACCGTTCCACGGGGTATGATCGCTTGAGACGCCATCTTTGCGCACGGGACAGACCCGTGGAGAAACGCATGTCGAGGAAAGGGACACGAGAATAGGCAGCGGCTGCAATGTGTTCAATGGTCCGAAGGATGGGAGGATCAGAAGAGGTTGGGTGAAAGGTGTGGTGTGCACGTCGGCTGGGGTATGTACGACTGTCTGCCCCTGCCATTCAGTGCTGGGCTTTGCATGCCAGACTGCGGATGGTGTCCGCTGTGATTGGCTATTGTGATCAAGGTTTGGGGGTGACGAGATCCATCTGCAGTGTGCCGGCGCGACCAGGCCCAGAACAGGCACCCTTCATTCTGTTTTTTAGTTGTTCCTGGCCTAGCGCAGCCGCTGGTGCGAACGGGGTTGGATCAAATCGCTAGTGCCAAGCAAGGCACGGTCTGGCCAGTTGGGGCTGCGACACTAGACGGCGGCCAGTAACATCGTCCTCTCGGGTTTAGTTGCCTTTTCTTTCGTTCAAGTGTGCACTCAACAGTTATGCAATGTAGTCAGGACGCATAACTGTTCCTTTCCCCCCCTTTGACCTGCATTTTACGCCGAATGCAGACTGCATTGGGCTTTCACTGCATGGAGGAATAAGAAACAACATCGTGAAGAGTAGAAAAACACGAAGCCGACATGACTACCAGTGACAATACGAAAATTGATTCAACGAAATAAAGGGGCGAGGAACATGTTTTGTACGTCGTACGTGGTGTTTATGACTAACAGCACCCCGTAGTGTTCTCGCCTATTCGCAAGCGGCGTGGTACTGGGCGAAGGTCCACCAGAGTCTAATCTCCTCAATATTAAATTGTAATTATATCTCGAGAAGCGACTTTATCCACCTCTTCTTCGGCGTGTGTTCTTCCAAGTTACGGACGACCACAACCACGACCACAAGCTAGAGAGAAAGTTGGTTTGCCTAAAGTTAAGCGCATCATTCGCCGCATGCGCTCTTCTCCTCTTTTTAAATCCAGTCGTTGATTGTTCTCAGTTGTGTCCAACTCGTTTGCCGATTCTATGTAATCCAATAATTCAAATGTCCCAAGAAGACCAAGAACCTCAAGAAGCGGCCTACAGCGCCTCATGTTGCGGGCCGTGCAGAAACACAACATAGTTGAACCGTCTGGGTAGTAAGACATCGTCGTTGAGTGTACGACATGCGAAGTTCTATCGTACGAAGGAGAACGTAGCCTAGCATTGAACTAGTCACCACCCACCGCCTGACCGTCTATCAATGTGGCGTTGAATACCATTGCAATGTCAGAACATTTACCCCTCATCCATGGCGTGGACTAAGATAAATAGTAAGATACAAATCGATAAACAATTGTGAGTTGGCAAATTGAACACGAGACTAGCAGCACCTGGCCACTCATACACATCAATGTCTACGGAGTACAGAGTGCGATGTAAATATATCGTAAGCCTTCAGTCCCAGAAGATCCATATAGTAAGTTTTTAATAAGTTGACGACTCAAATTTCGCAGAGTGGCCGCGCAATAAGCAACTCGTGCTGCATTGCAACAATCGTATTAAACGTATTTTGTAACTACGTGCTGCCCCGTCAGCTTGTATCTTCAAGATGTGTGGTGAGACTTTGTGGTCTGTCATGTGCAGTCCCAGCTCTCCATGGTTTTCGTATTGGTGAACATTTTATTGCCCCTCTGGCAGCGCCATCTCATCCTCCTCTACTACGTTTTCCAGCTAAAACCTTCCGATGGAGCATGTCGTACAATGCATCTGAAGTGGCTTATATCAAATCTCAAAGTTCGGTCTCCTATCATCTACTGCAGAACCAGCCGCTTCAGCCTCAGCCACCCTATTTTCATTTTCTTGATGCTTTGCACAGGGTCCTCTATTTTTTTTCTTTTTTCGTCATGGAACAGTATTGATAATAAACACAAAATAATATTTCACCTTCAGCCGCTAGACGATAATAGCGAGGTAATTGAAGGCCGAATGGGTTTTTGTTAAAAAAAGAATCATTAGATAGGTCAAAGGACCACGGGGATCCAAGCTTAAGATCTCCCGCTACTAATCTACGAGTAGTACTCCGTGTCCTGCGCGTTTCCCGTGTGTGGTGTAAAGCACCTTTCCCTACGGGTAATTGAGAAAGGGAAGTTGCAGGAAGAAACGAGGCAAACTTCCGTTTGGTGTCGTCTACAGCTGAACTCTGCATGATGACGCATGAATGTTGAGTGAGAAAAAGGCAAAGACTAAGAGTCTCTTATTTTTGGGGAATAAAACAAACGGCATTGATGTCATGGAAGGAAAATGGTTATATTTCGTATACAGGACTATGTAGTCTGGTTTTGCAAAGAAATATTTGCAGTGAGAACACTTGAATACTTGTACTGCAATATGACTTCATAGGTAATATTCGTATTTTAGCATTGCAGATGAGGCTGACGATGCTGCTGGCGAGATGCTGTTTACAGTGCCGACAGCCTTGAGCTGTGATTGGCCAACAGTGCTGATCGGACCAAGAAAACCACCAACAACAACACCATCAATCCAAATCGACAGCCCTGTCTAACAGCCCCGCCCCACCAACAAGTCAATTAATGGTGCATTCGGTGCTTCCATACTGAGCTTACTTTCACATTCAGACGCGGTGACAACCTCAAGTCTGCGTCCACGATCACGCAGAAACCCACAATGGTAAGCATACCAGGCCCTCTACGCCGTTGTTGGCAACCCGCTGACTTTTCAGAACAAGGACGGCTGCTACACGTCGGTGCACATGCACCACCCTCGCAACGCGGACCTCTTTGAAGACGTCTGCAAAGACCGCCTCCCCAACGACGACATCTTTGTCCCGCCCCAGCACCAGCCCATCAACCCCGAGGACGAGGACGATGTTGTGCCCGACCAGCATGCCGCTTTTGGCATCCAGCGCGCCACCCAGGCTGTGCGCGAGCCCGCTTGGAAGGACTTGGGGCTGTCGCAGCTGATGCGCCGCGGGCCGCGCGGCGCACGTGGAGGTGGTGGAGGAGGCGCCCATGACGGCAGCAGTATGCATGCTACCGGCGGGAGTGGTGCTGGCAGCGGCGGCGCGTCTGGCCCCGGCGGCGTCACAAACAACTCGTACGGTTACTATGCCTACTATTATGGCTACAACGCCAACGGCATCGGGGCCGGCCTCGCCGGTGCGGGCGGCGGCGGTGGCGGGTTTGCTGGTGATCTGGCTGCAAGTCCTGGCCCAGGGGGCGTGGTGCGTGGACAGTCCGGAGCTGGATCCAGACCGTACCGTGGAATGCCGCGGTGAAGGCAACATGGGCGGAGAGGGAGGGACTGCAAAACATCGGCATGGATACTACGACGATGGGCACGGCGTTACGGTTATGGGCTTTGCGACAAACGGGGCATGAATTACGTCTGATTATAGGCATAGCATAGGAACAAGGGCAAAAGTAAAATGCATTTTTTAAGTTTCCCATGGTAAAGAAGCAACAAAGGAGAAACGCCAAGATATATACACCAAGCTACCAGGAGCAAGAAAGAAGAAGACACTAACGGATACGACAAGGCCATGACAGCGGTCCGTGTGCAGTCTACACCTCTGGGGACCGTCCCAGAGGCTGCCGCAGGAGCCGGTTTTCTAGCTCTTTCCCAGGTATGATTCCCGCTCGAGCACCAACGGCTCGAACTTGACAAGAAACACCGTCTTGCCGGGCCACATCTCGCCTTCTTCCGCGCGGCCGACCGTATGCGCTGTCACGCGTGCTGGGAACCCAGCACCGTCGCAGACGCCCTCGACAATGCCGGCAACGTACGCCGCGCAGTTGAGCTGGCTCATCTCGCGCGGCACGCTAATGTACTGGTTGACGAGGGGCTCGTTGTCGATAATCATGTACTCTTCGGGCGTCTGTGGGTTGCTGCTCTTTTCGAGGCCATTGGCCTGACGGCCAAAGAGGTGTGTCCACACGTTGATCTTGACGAAATGTAGGAGAGCGATGATGGTTTGGGGGCGGATTTGGGAGCGCGGTGGTTCGCGGTAGAGAAGGAGATCGAGGAGCTTGACGCCAATGGGGTGGCCTTGGACGTTGAGTCTGAGGTTGTTAGGCGCTGCAGAAACCAAGCGCGGAGGCAAAAGACGAGGGAGGAGGCAAGAACATAACACACCGTTTCTCTAGGTCCTGGATACCAGTGACACGGCGCTGGGCGTAGCCGACCATCTCGGAAAAGAGGTAGGCAAACGCTGACTGGCTAAGCTCGGCGTTGCGCGTGCGGTTGAGCGGCCGGTGGTAGATGGTCTTACCGCTCGTTGGGTAGCGCAGGCCGCTCTGGGGCTGTTGGGGTGGTTGTTGTTGCTGCGACTGTGCTTGATGCTGTGCCGGCGACTGTGACTGTGAGTACTGATGCTGGTGCTGGGGGTCTCGTATCGGCGCGGGCCCTTTGCCGACGCCGCCCAAGCCGGACGACGCGAGGCTGGCCATGGTGGAGGCGAGGAGGAGACGGTAGAGGTACGGAAGGATGTGGAGGAGGCGTACGGGCCGGAGATGATCGGTATCTGTCGCAGCGCAAATCGTCGGCGGTAGGTTGAAGGATGGGTCGAGGTCGGATGCGACTTTGTGGTCGACCAAGCCAATTCACTGGAGAGTTGGGGGGATGGGGGATGTGGGGCACCTCCTAAAGCCGCGCTGGCCTGGCCTCCACGAAATAGCCTTAAACTTTAGTTTCACAGCCTTGTGTCAAAATAAAATGGCAGCCTCGATTTTTGAACGAAAGGGCACAACAATGACAATCATAGTTATAATAAAATAGAGGTCGGAGACTCTGTCGTAATGCAGAAGTGTATCGAAGAATTACTAACTTATTAAATAATAAAGAACGGCAGTGCGGCAGTGCGAAAATATGACAGTAAGGACAGGCGCTAGATCTATCACAAGTATGGTATATATGGCCCTCGAAAAACACTACGAATCCAGTGCTTGGGGCTTTCTTCGCACGGTTCTGCTTCCTTCCTTCTCTCCGGCCCCGGTTTTCCTTTTCCTTACACCCATTATTCAGCCATTAAGCAGCAGTGGCAGCCGTTGTCTCAGCCGACGTCTCGTCTGCCACCTTCAGGTCGGCCACCTTGAGGTCCTCGACAGACGTCTCAGCCGTCTCCGGAGTCTCAGCCGCTGGGGCCACAGCTGGTGTCTCCGCAACGGCTACCGCGGGCACCGCCTCAACAGCCGGTACAACACCCTGCTCCAGCTTGCCCGCCAGGTAGTCCTCCAGTTCGCCAATCTGCTTGCCGCCCGCCTCCCAGCGCGCCAGCCGCGCCGCACGCCGCTCGGCCGCCAACTTTGTCAAGGCCTGCCAGTACACCTCGTGGTCGTAGTCAAACTCGAGCTTGCCGAGAAACTCGGTCCAAAGCTGCTCCGACGGCACGTACTGGTTCATGTCCTCGTTGAACTTGAGCTTCTCGCGCGTCAGCGGGTCGATGAAGGGCGTGATGAGCTTGAAGAAGCCCCAGACGACCCAGGGCACATTGATGATGAGGGCACGGCCCAGGCGCTCCGGGTAGTGCGTCTGCAGAATGTGCAACACCTCGCGGCCGGTGCTGATGCCGGGCGCCGTGTTGGACCGGCTCTTGCTTGTCTTGAAGTTGATGAGCAGCGCCAGCGTCTCCTGGCCGGCCGGCATCAAGTCAATGACACGCTCAACCATGTACACCAAGTGCTGCACCTGGCGCGGCGACGGGTCCGTGTTCTGGCGGCCTGGGTTCAGGTAGTGGCACACGCGGCCCTGCTTGTCGTAGCCGAGCAGCACCTGCTTTCCCGTCTCGTTCTCGGGCGAGATTTGGTCCGCCGTAAGTCCTTCCACGCCGTACTCGCGACGCCATGTCAAGGTTTCGTGCAAACGCTTAGCAGCATCCTTTTCGTGCCACTTAGTCGCCCGCAGGTACCGCAGCAGGCACTCCCGTGTCAGCCAGAACCGGTCCTCGTCCGTCAGTGGACCCGACTTGTCTTCCTTGCTGTCTTTGGACGAGGCCACCGTCGTCCAGCTCTTCACCTGCTCGAGCAGCCACTCGTACTTCTTAGCTTGCGCGTCGGTCAACTCGGCGCGCGGAGGCGGCACGCTGTCTGCCGTCGGAACGGGAATGGGCAGCTTGAGCGGACCAGCAGAGGCCTGCTTCTCGCTGGCATCCGGCGCCGCAGCCGGTGTTTGTGTCTCAGGTGCGCTCATGTTGGGAGGTTGCTCGGCAAATTGGCTGTCGTTGCGGTCGACTCAATTTTGTTGGGATTTCGGATCGAATGGGAGTGAATGAGTAGAATAACAAACTGGATGGCAAGATGAATGGCCTTTTCAACAACAAAAGACAAGCAGAAAACAATTTGTGGGATTGGGAGGGACCAATTCGGAATCAAGACTATCGAAGCTGTCGCATAGGAGAAGCCAGCCTGGTGGAGCTCGTCAACATGTAACTGCTCCGTATTCGTTTTCCCAGGCTACTGGTGTCGCTATCGCCATGGTAATCGGAAAATAGAACAATTTTGATAAGGCTTATCGTTCCCTGGCCAGACCCAATAATAGGCCCCACAGGGGCTGGCTCCAGGGACCATCCGCAAAGGCCACTTCAGATTGAACACGTGACCGTCTCTGAAAAACAAACGAAGAATGTTCAGCATGTCGCCATTGAGGAAATTGAAATCAAATGCGATAGTTGCCTTCATATCCATCTGTAAAGCAGAGTTGTATAGTAGAATCGATCTACTTTCAGCGAAAGCAACCAAATAACTCGACATGTTCGTCAGCCCGTTCCTTGAGGTTGCAAGACGGCCAGTTCTCTGCGCCGAGCCCCGGCGAAAACATGCCATAATATGAGAGAGATCTGAAATCACTGCAGGAGGGCAGATAGGCGTGTCATTCGGAGAACAAAACTAATGTCGGACTTGAAGAGGACCCGTGAGGCACTTATGCGCCAGTGATGTAGACGCTCACTGTTTTTGATCTTAATGCACTGAAGCAGCTCAACGAACCCATTGGCCCACTAATGCCTGTTCCCGGAAATCATCTCATTAATTCAAACCTCCAAGTCGAACAGCAAAACTCCGTGGCGGTTTATATATTTAGTTTGAAATTTTGCTTATGACCAGAGACAATTCTCTTACATCGTCCGCGTTCACCCACAGTCGCCCGAAAGGATGCAAGTCGGAGGCCGATGGCGGCTGGACGTGGAAGGCGCTTACAAAAGTTTCTGCCTAGCAAATAAGGCGCGCACAGCACGACATAATGCACGCTGGCTAGCGACGCTTTAGCGTTCTTTCCCCTCCCACAGTCACTTCCTGGTCCCGAGTTCGGAATGCAAGATACTCTTACCAAGCAGTTGTCACTGCCACCGCTTTAAGTAGGTGAAGTTTTACACTTGCGACGTCCCTCGTTCTCTAGTGCCCAGGTTTTCAGCCAGTCCGAAGCGCTGTCTTTCTGTCTTACAAGCAGCTTATCTTTTTTATCTTATTTTTTGCTCCACTTGACAACCTGCTCACAAATCAGCCTCCCACCAAAGGTCGACGTTTTCTTCATCCTCCATCTACCTTCGAATACTCGAATAACCCCCGGTATCTTTCCATTCCCCGTCTGACATACAATTTTTCGACGTATATCTACTGGAGAGTTTGGCTACAACTGTGTGTCCAGCGGAGCCTACGACTTGTATTTCATGTGACTGTGACACTCTTTTTCTCGCCACCGATATCTACGTTCGTTCTCCGCACGCAAACACAGCAAACACAAACGTCAATTTCGTTCTGTCGAAGCCTTGTTACTATTCCCTATATCAAACAACCACCGCCGACATGCCTGCCTTTCCGTTTGTGTCCATCGACGCCGACGATGACTCGGTCGATTTCGCCCGCTTCAAGTCAGGCTCCACCAAGAGCAATGGCACTGCATCCAAGCCGACCACCCGCACACTGATCCTGGCTCCACCGGCTATTGCCGCCCACGAGGAGAAGCTGCATGCCCTCTTCGCCTCCGACTATGACCGCGCTGCTTGTGACTTGCAGATGCTCGACCGCCTCGCCGCCGGATTTGTGCCCCTGGTTGCCAACACCTACGATACCGTGCTCGTCCTGACCGACGCCGATGGTGCCCAGCGTGCCGAGGCCGTGCGCCTACTCAGCAGCCGGCCTGTCTTTGCGGCGCTCGTGCCGGCAATGAAGAACAATGCCCGTCTGCAGTTCCAGGACGGTGCGCGGCTGGAGGGGGCCGGTGCGCGCGAAGCCATCTTGGCTGGCCTGGTCGAGAAGGATGGCGTGTTTGAAAAGGTGGAGGAGGAAGAGGTCGTTGTCCCCCTGCGGCTGAAGAAGAAGACCCCTGCGGCCGCCGCGGCACCTGTCGCAGCCGCTCCTGCGATCGTCAACGCCCAGGGCAAGCGGCCCGCTGTCACCCTGGATCTTGGCGAGTACAGCGACGGCGAGGAGCTGGTCGACGAGGACAGCCTGTTGACGGCCGAAGAGCGCAGCCGGCCCCCTCAACAGCGTACGTCCCCCTTCCCCCCCTCCTACATTATTGATAACGGGAAAAAGACAGCAGTCTAGCTAACACTTTAGTAGCACCCGCATGCAACATTGATGGCCAGAAGCGCCGAAAGCCCTGCAAGGATTGCACGTGCGGCCTCGCCGAGCGCCTTGAAGGGGAAGACCGTGACCGCCGCACCCAGGCCGACAGCGACCTCAAGAACGTCTTCAAGCTCAACGCCAACGACCTCAACGAGCTCGACTTTACCGTCCAGGGCAAGACCGGCTCTTGCAACAGCTGCTCGCTCGGCGACGCCTTCCGCTGCTCCACCTGCCCCTACATTGGCCTACCGGCCTTCAAGCCCGGCGAGGAGGTCAAGATTCTGAGCGGGCTGGTGCAGCTGTAGAGTTTTCACAAAGGGCACCACCGTGGCGCTTATGAAAGATTATATACCAACACTACCAACAACGACGACGACCATAACAACGGCATCGGACAGCATGCGACGTGGGATACGTCATGTCGAACATTGGGTTTCACGGCTAGGATCAGAGCCAGGCGAACCCGGACAAGGACCAGGATCAGGCGCAGGGCGTTTCGCTTTCTTTTTCTTTTGTTTTGATGTTTTCTAGGACTTTATTCTTCATTTGCTCGTTTTCGTTTATCACAGCATTCAAGCGGTTTCGCAAGCGGCTGCGGGCTGCAGACGCATATTCAAATATTCAGTTGGAATTTAGGAGGAAGTGCAAGAGCCTTATAGGCAATGACTGCATCTAAATAGATGAAGCTATTTCAAAATTCAATTTAAAAGTTGAAATTGAACTTTGGATGTGTCTCCAAGTTCCTCGTTTACGTGCTCTTTCCTTGGCTTACGAAAAGGTGGCCATCGTAATTGCCTAATTTGGATGGATGAGTTTGTGTAGCAGTGCTGGCGCGGGGCGCTCTTCCCTTGACCAAAACTCACTGAACATGGGCTAGAGAGGGGCCT